CATGTCTTGACACTCATGTAAATTTGGGTCATTGGTACTATGACGTATCATCCCTTCAAATCCATCTCTTAGAATATTTTGTAGTACATCCAATTTTGGATCTTTTTTTTTTAGGATGGTCCATAGACATCTCTTTATGTTACATATGGTCAACTCTGCAGTTGTCTCCTTTATCACTCACCAGGGGACACGTCATCTGGTTTTTTTCCACACTATCGACCTCTTTTTCTAGGCCCATTCTATACAAGAATGTCTCTTAGCCTATTTTATTCTACATCTTGTTGTAGATCGTCTCTTGAGGCTGGCCAAAATATACTACTTGTGGATTGGTCACTCGATCCTCTTGTTTTTGAGTGGCTGTGCTCTCATCTGGATGTCTATGACATTTTTCTCAACATATTACTTCAACTCTTTTGGTCCCCTGTTTCTCTTCCCTTAGCTTTGGCTGGGGATGCATTCCATCAGGACTGTTCCAAGTTTTTCTCTGTGTCTACCCTCATACAAATTTTTTTGTCATCCTGATACCTCCATACTGGCCAGCCCAGCCATGATTTGTTCTCTTGCACCTTCTTCTGTCCTCTCCTCCTCTACCTCTGTCATTCTCCTTACTTCTTGAATCTCACATCTTTCTCTCCCATCCAGCATTTTTTTCACTCTGACTTCATGTGTGGGTTTTGTCCAGTCCCTTGCTATATGTTCCAGACTCTCTTTATGTGTAACTTTCCTTCTTCTTGTTCAGTTCTTTCTTTCTTCCTCTTTGTCTATCCACAACAAGGGCATACATTCCGTAGTGGTCTCTGCATCATGTTTCTCTTTTATTCCCTTCCTTCTCTCCCCTATCTTTTCAAATTTTATCATTTGCTATTAGTTGGAGTTTTATCACTTTCAACCATTGCTGGTTACCAGGTAGCTCTACCTAATACTTTTGGGTTTTCTTATTATCATCACGTATTCTTCTCTTCTGTTTTTTATATGATTTTTGTTCTTTTTGTCACCTTCATCTTCCTCATCTTGCATTCCTTCCTTATTGGGACCTGGATACTGTTCTCCATGCCCTTACCCTTCTTTTCTTTAACTCTTTAATCTCTTGTTTCTTGTACTATCTTTCACTTAGATTCTACTTCTTACTTTTTGCCTCTGGCCATAGGAGATATAATGTGTATGCCACTGCTGTTTCCCATATTTTTTCATTCTGTTCCGAAATGATTTCTTTGTCCTTTCCATGTGGTTCATTTTTATTTGACCCACTCAGCTCCTTTTGACAGTTGAAGCTCCCGTATATTTATTCTTTGGAATTCCTCATCTCCCTGTGGTATTTCTCATATTTTTCTCCAGGGATTGATTTATATTGAAAAAGGTGCATCAGTTTTATGTTGCAAACCAGGTGCTAAAATGATTAGCAATTTGTTGCAACTACATAGCTGTGATTTCCAATTAAAGCTTCATGAAAACAAGTTAAACAATAATAAATATAACAAAACTGAGAATAAATATATACATTACACATTTATTTTTATTTTATGTAAACTTTATTGAACATCATTGATTAAGGTAAAGAAGGTGTAGTAATTAGTACAATGCTATCTTTCATATTTTCAGTCAATTTCAAAAATATCCGAAGATTTTGAATGATTTTAAACAATATGCATTACCAGAATGTTCAAGTTCATCCTGTGCTTTTGGTCATACTTCATAATTTATTAATTTCAATATTAGAAGAAATGGGTCAAAATGGTTTTTGTGCATTCAAGTCAAAAATCTTTGGCTCCCACAATCAAGTATTCAACTCTTGTACTCTGAAACTACATTAATAAAATCTTTAATTTCTGACTCAGATATTGATAAATCCTTTGTACCTAACCTTGCCACTCTCTTTGGCCTGTATAAGCAATTCATTAATATTTGGGCCAAAAACAGAGCCAGACAATCCCTGGAGGGTTTTGTATCTTAGCATGTAGGAGGTCAATGCTATCTTGTTGCAAATTCAAAGAGAGTTTTGCTAAAGATGTTGTGATTTCATAAAAAGCCAGAGATTTAGCACAAACTGACTCAAGTCAGTCTTTTGAAGGTTTTCTTTATCTTACCTCCCTCATCAGACTTCCCTAACGTATTTTTTAAATTAACAACCAATACTTTGTACCCTTTTATCAATGCATTACATGCTTTTACTTTATTTATACCATGAATCCAATGTGTGCCATTAACTTTTAGGGGGTTTAGCACACCCTCCTCCATAATGTCAGCCAATTCCTTTAGGTCTTGCAAATGTTTGGGGCTCCTATGATAAAGTGCATAAATAACATTTTCCTCAATGTATGTTCCTTTAAAACTGTCTTTTATTGCTAATTACAGTCTGTGATTTAGATAGTGTATACTTATTAATCATGGGTACTCATTCTTCAAGAGAGCTGATAAACCACTTTTGTGATATAGGTTAAAACTTGCACCATCAGCCATCATACTCACTATTTTTTTATGCAAGTTAGTAATACCAAGTTCAATAAAAGTTCTCACTAAAGTGTTTTTTAACCCTTGTAGATCAGTATGTTTCACTGTCTTAAGCCGATGAAAAGCATTCTTTGCATATCTGTCATTTGTCACGTACAACACAAAGAGGACTTCCTTCTCTGTCACACTGGTGTCAGTAGCTTCATAAGTTAATTGGATGACCTAGGTGAAATTGCAAGATCCTAAGATCTATAAATTTATGAACAATTTTAAATCCAAATTATCTAGACCTAGTTTGTAATCTGGTAATTAAATATAGCCTAATTAATATGAAAATCTTAATATGAATTAATAATAGTAGCCTAACTTAAACAGGTTCATTTCACAGTTCCTCCCCAATAATCGTTGTGAATTCGGAACACTTCTTATCTGTACAGTACGTCTGGCCTATTCATGCCCCATGGTGTCTCTCAAGTGCTACAGTTGTTGGAAACTTCTTAAAAGGAATCTTTTGAACAGCTAAGGTGTAGGCAGTCTCCATAAGCATCCGTACCCATCTTCTCTCTTCTGCTGAACCTATGATGATTGATTTTCTGATGGCTGTTTCTGCATAAGTTTGCTCCCTTGTTGCCTTTATTTTAAAAGCATAGTCTGCTGTCCTAGAATGTTGTTCTGAGTCTGGGTGTTTTCTGCTGGCCTCTTTTTTCATTTTCTTTGAATCAGTTATTCCCACTACATAGGCATCACTGAAACTCTTGTCATGCTTAATATGATCCAAATGTTCCATACACAGTTTACATCTTATGCTGTCAACAATTCCCAACTTGACAGTATAATTCAGCCACTGTTTTTTTGGATCCAGATTATTACAACAGTTTTGAACTCTATTCACTGCAGGGCCCCATGTGTTTGGACACATGTTTACAATAAGCCAAGCTTGGGCTAAATAATGTAAGCCTATTATAACAGTGTTTATTGTAGGCTTGCACACCTGTAACTGCCAGTGTCGTTCCAGCCCAGTCTTACTGCATGGTCACTAGCCAATAGATCTACTAGTACATCTGATTGTGTGATGTTTGATTTCTAAAAGAATTTTGCAGCATGCCAATTCACATCAATTATGTCATACAAACATTATGAGGGACTCCTTGCTTGAAACTGGTTCATCAGCACAAATGCACCTAAAAGTTGATCTATAGTATATATATAATAAAATACAACTGCCATACGAATACATGATTCTTCAAGTACTAGTAGACATGACTTAAGTATGATCTAGGCTTAATCAATGTCCAAACTGCATTGTTTACTATTATACTAATTAATATATTGTGTAAATATCAGTCGTATATTAATACACAAAAATCTCAGACATCATTTCATCCCGAATTGGCAACACATATCTTTACAGTGGTGGAAGAGTATATCCTGGTACAGATGAGGTGTGTTCTCCCATGAGTGTGACCCTATATATTAGGGTATCACACTCCATGGATTCTTTTCAGACACTTTCCATAGAGTGCTCATCTAGGTAACTTTTGCACCAGTTGCTCCACAGTTTCATTATGAGATTCTAGCTATTATATGAGTGGAGGTAAGGTAACATTTTCAAACACTGAAAATGTACTTCTGATAGATACTTACTTCCACTCACACTTCCCATCTGTCCTTCCCACTTCTGGTTTTTTTTGTTTTTGTTTTGCCCAAAGGCTACTGATGATCGAAAAATGCACATATAGAGGACAACATAAATTGAAATATGCTATTATGTGAGAGGAGGCAAGTATCTGTTGGAAATACATTTTCGGCATTGGAAAATGCTAACTTTCAAAATTACAGCTTCTATTTAAGTTTTGTTCATTTTCAAACTCTAATATTGCACTATTACACACTTTCAGCATTATCACAACTTATTAGTTTAATTCAATAAACATAATTCACATTTGTGGTGTAAAATATGAATGGAACTTTATTTTGTTCTGTTTGAAACTTAGATAAAATAATATGGAGCTTTCATGTTGTAGTAGACTTTTTTCTTCTGACTGATTATTCATTAAAAATAAATACAATTGTCCATGCCACATACCTTTAATATAAATTATATTTTTGCTAGTGTTTTACAGGTGTCTTTTGCTTATAAATGCTTAATCCATGAATAACATTAAAATAATTATCACAAGATCACAGGTTTTATTGTACTAATGCAGCTGGACTTGGTTAGAAACTGTCTAACACAACAACACTCTGACTTAACTAACTCTCAAACAATCTTCACATGCATATGGGTGTATATATATATATTCTTGTGGTTCCTTTTACAACTTCACATGCTGATTACATCACATTGATTCTAGAACTCTGTAACCAACAATACAGACATTTAAATATTTAAAACCATAACTTACAACCGTATCTTTGCCATTTTCATAATAATTCAATGCATATAAATAAGCTTAATTGAAAACTATCATTAAAAAAAACAATTATATATTGTTATTTTGTTCACATTTTACTTTATCTTTGATCTCCAATTATGAAACTTTTTAAGAACTCATTATGTATATGATATTAAAGCACTAATTCATAACTGCAGAATGCTTACGAGTGCTATAGTCTGCAATGAAAACTCAATGTAATAGTCATTTGAAACTTAGCTTCTACACCACATGAACAAAATGCTGAATTTTACTTAAAATTTGACCTTGCAAAATTGTCAAAACTATCCACCCATGGAGCAAAAGTTTGTCATTTTAATATTTTAAAGAAATATATCAACCATACATCTTAGTCCTTTGGACAAAAATCCAAAAAATGCTCAGGTGCATTAGATATGATAAAACAGTTTTCTGTACACAAACTTTTGTGGTGCTTTTGGATTGAGCCAAACTAATATGATACTGTCTTTCCTTTATGTTTCAATTTCATGGCAGGTTTTCTATCCGAGTTGAGCAGACACTTTCAGTAATAAAAATTGTCACATTTGAACTTCTACACGATCAAAATAAATCAGCAACTAATATGATGTTTTGCTACAAGAAACTGGATGGTATGCACAACAACAGTCGTTTAGGCAATGATTTTATGACCAGAATAAATGCACTGTTTCAAATATGCAATCCCAAATTTACAAAAGATATTTAATGCAGTCAATTCACATTAGCAACAGATTCTTAAGGAAATCACTGGATATGTTAAAATATAATTTTTAACATATTTTAGCATTATTTGTTGCCTTTACTTGAATGTATCTTGTTAGAACTTTTTTCTTTGTTATGTAACAGGAAATGGTGTTACTCCACGACCTCGTTTGCCATTTGCAATTACTTCTTTACCAGCCCCACCACTTCCTCCTGCAGAACCTTCAAATGAACAAGAAAGACAGCAGCAAACAAAGTATGAACAGTGGTTATTACGGCAGCAAGAAGCATTAAACTCTCATCAAAAATACTTTGAAACAGAAGTTGGTAAACTCAGGAAAGCAAAAAAGGCACTCAATGCAAAGCAACGCACATTACGAAAGAATGGTCAGGAATTAGGAGAAAGAGATGCAGCAGAATTGGAAAGAATTAGCCAAGAGCAGGCTGTACTTCAGAAACAGCTGGACCAGGTTCAAACATTTTACATTTAGTTATAAAAATCATATAGTTTCCTAAAGGGGGAAAATTCAGTGATACTGTGTTTATTAGTAATATTATTAGACTCCATTGAATTTGAACCACACAGTCTTTTAGATTCAATATATCTTTATAGCATGTGCTCAGCTGATTAATGAAAAAGAATACAAACTTAATTTACTGTTTTTGCAGTAAAATCATTAACAAAAGTATGTATGTAAGAGTACAAGAACTTGATAAAAGAAAAATCTCTTCTTCAAGACTTAAGCTGATGAAATGAACTTTAAAAAAAAATGTCTTGTTAACAAAAGTTGTATACAAAGCAAAAAAAATAATGTAGAAATATTTTCTGTTTGATTAACATCACAGCTGACTAATTGAATTTTAAAGTGTTGTGCAATGCAGTGTTAAATATGAACTCCAAAGAGAAATTAAATTTAGAAGTACTCATATAATTTTACTTATTGTATTAAACTTTATATTTTGTTAAATTTCTGATTACACAGCCTAATTAACTTAAAAAAATGTCCAGGTCGCTTTCACACGATATATCTTTAAATGTATGAAATATATTCTTTTACCAATGGTTTATAGTTGAAAAGACATACTGTGAGATTTGTTTAAGTTATCTTAGAAAGAAATTGTCTAAGCCTGCTAAAAAATAACTTTAATTTATTTTAAAAATATATTTTCCATTTGGTTTGAATTCAATTTTGCAGAGATGTGAGAATGTATTCAGTTCTGTTTGATACTTAATGAGATTGCTCTAATTATTGATTATATCTTGCTTTAAACAAACATTTTGTATGTTCATGTTTATAAATAGCTTATGATAAACTTAATTTTAGATGTTTTGAAATATTTTCAGCATGGAAATCAATACTAATATTATCTTGTTTGTTCATGTAATAAAACTTTAACAGATTTTTTTGACATGTCAACTTCTTCAGCTGAAAATATATTTTCAGACAATTTTCAGTATTTCCAATTTTTTCTTCTTTTTTGCTTGCATACATGTAGATACTTCTAATACCTGTGATCTACTGCACAGTGTGCTTTGCATCCATGTTTGTTGTAATATGGTTAAGTATTTAATAACTTTTATACCATTCTAGTATTTTTTATTTTAAGAAATAATATATATAATGTTTTCATGACCGAAATTTCATTTACAAATTTTATTTTCATTCCTTGATATAAATGTTTAGCATTGGGTTGTATTTCAGGAAACAATTTCATTTTCATACTCTAGGACAGCATGAGGTCCTGACCCAAAGGAAGACAGAAAAACTATTTTAGATTTTAGGGGGATATGAGGGATCATAAAAAATATTGTTATTAGACTATTTACAGTAATTTGTAAAAAATATTTAAGCTAATTAATATGAATACTTACAACACCATAAGCCAGCATCATTCGGTGTTTTCTTCATTTGTTTGTTTCTTCAAAACATATGCTTGCTTTTCTGTGTTAAGGTTAAACCTAATTCTAATCAAAACTTTTGTTTGATAGGCTAGGAAGCAGTCCCGACAGCATGGTCTTGTTATTCAAGATTACCGAGTAAAACAACAGAAGAAGAAGCAACAGCAACAACAACCCCAGATGGTAGTGGCAACACAACGACCAGTTCGACCTCCAACTGCATCTCAAGGTCCTCCCACACCTCATATGGCTGTAAGTTCTGATATTCTTTACTTGTACGTTCATTTATCTAATATATTTATAATCAACAGAAAGTGAAACTTCTACACTACACAAATCATACAATTATTTGTTTTCTTTTAGCAGTAAAATCCTTTCTTTTTTTTTTTCTTTTTCAAGAAAGCTTGATGAGTTTAGCTTAAAGACATTACACTAAGCAGTAATGAAATGTTTTAAGCCTCTTTATATGCTAGTTAGAAAATCAAAGAAATTATAGTGGTTTTGGAGACTTATCTTGTTCTGAAATGCTTACTGGATAGCTTCATGAATTATTTTTGAACAACCAACACAATGAGGAAAAAATAGGCTTACTAAACCACACAGTGAAGTGTAAAAGGCCTCAAGGCTAAAGTAAATGCTAAATTTCCTAGTTTTTTGTTTTTTTTTGTATATTTGTTAACAAAAATAGCTAACTTCACAACTTTGAAACTTGTAGGTCAGATAAGAAAACTTAAAAAATTATACATAAATATTCCTCCTTGAGGAATGCATGTGGGCTGCTGTTGGATGATGTAACTGGATATTTTGCTTACCCTAATTTGCCCTAAGCTCCTGCCATTTGATTTATTGCTTTGTTATGCTATCTGTACTCTGTTCTAAGAGGAATAAAACAATAATAAATTAATTGAAACAGATGTGAAACTTTTAGGAGCCTGAGGCTATTTAGGATAAGTACTTGTCATTGTCTGTTAGAAGTTATGATCATTCTTGGAAAAAAAAATTACTTTTGATTTTATTTCATACTTTCCTTGATGATAATTGCACAACAGTTAATGTTAGGGTAGAGAAAGTAAGCGACAAAGTTTAAAGTTTTACAAAAAAAATGTTTTTTATTTAAAAAGTTGTAGAGGTTTTGCAAATGAAATATGAAAACTGTAATATAAAAAGAAATATTTTTATTCTTAGAATGAAAATCACATTTCATTCAGACTGATGTAGTAAAGGCTTTGTAAACGCACTGAAAAATCTTAAGTAGAAATACGTTTTTAAAAAATATTAATTTTTTTCACATGAAAGTACAGAGTTATAGTACGTATAATTTCATGGTTGCATTATGGTTACAAGATCGGTCACAATAACTGAACCATTACACAGAGGGTTAATGTATATACATAAACAAGCAATTTTAATCAGAAATCAACTGTGTAAGTTTGCCATCAAGCTTACTTACAATTTGAATTAAGATGTATCTTTAAACTTGAATTTATATTTCAGCATTTTTTATTCAGGTTCAAAGGATCAAATATACTTTTTTATAACCTCAAGTGTTGTATAAGAGTATAGGTTTGATTGGATCCACTCTTAGGTGGCTTCAAACTTGCATACAAGAACATGCAGATTTAAAATTAAAATCATTTACAAAAAATACGACCCATGTTCTAGAATAAAGGTAATGAACTTTTAAGAGATGACAGTTTAGATTTCTCACAAGAGCAAATAATGAATAGATATTGTACATGCAAGGATATCTATTGATCATTAGGCTTCAACCAAGGTTATATGAACGAAACTGTGTAATTCATTTGTTATCATTATTAATATATTTATAATTTAAGCTAGTTTGAGTTTATATAGTTGTGATGTGCATACTCCTCCCTCCCTGTAGGATGTTGTTGTGTAGCTTATTTTGAATTCATTTTACAATAATTCAATACAAAGGTTGTTTTAGATAATATGCTGTTGCCACAGTATCATTTTGAAAGCAAGGCTACACTCTTACTGTATGTTGTAATTCATTCGTGGTAATAAAGTTGGTGATAGCCTTTTTTTTTTTTTAACTTGTTCTGAATGAAGATCATAAGTCTGCTTTTTGTCTACCTTTTTGGGATTTGGAATATTGTTATGCACTTTTTATAGCATATACATGCGTGATAACATTGACATTGTGCTATGATGTAATCTGTAAATGCTGTGCATAAAGTTTATTTCTAGGAAGTTTATGTTTTTGGTGATTAACTCTCTTGCTATTGGTTTAGTCAATTCAACCTAAAAGTTAACCCCAAATTGACTTTTAGAGTTTTCATACTGTAACTTTTAATATGTTTTGTGTATCGTCACAAAACTTCATATGCTTTCATTAAACATTAAGGGTCATTTGTAGACAATAAATCAGAATTTTTAATGAAGTAATTTCACTAAAAATTTTTCCAAGAACATATGTAATCAAAGTGTTGACCTCTCTGAATGTAATTTTTATGTTAAAATTAAAACACTTTTTTTCATCTGAATATTTTCAAAGTTCATTTGCATAATCTCCATAACCTTCTAAAAAATTTCAAACATTTTCCTTTGGTAAAATTTTATCTGTTATTTTTTACTCTAACTCTATACAAGGTTGGTTAATTTGACTGATCTTGTAACCACCAAAAAAATCAAGATATATCTGAATTACCCCTTTTTTCTCTCTAGAATGACTACAAATTGTATGTACAAATTGTACAAACATGAAACTACATTTGTTTCTTTTAAATAGCTTTAAACTTGTAGCTATATACATCTGTTTATACTTTGAACTGTGTTTAACTAATAATCCCACCACACAAGTTGTAAACCATTTGGCTGGTGTGTTGCTCACATTACCCTATTGAATTATGTAATGCATAGGCTACTTGTAATTTGCTCGTGAGTATACCTCTTGAAAAATTATTATTGTTAATCTTTATTTTATCTAAATCTGACTTTAATATTGTAATTTTTACTTTTTAGTTACTTATATAATAATAAATAAAGAATACATATGAAAAACAAGAAATATGGTACTTACCTGAGTCTTCTTTTTTTGCTGTTGATTGTCGAGGAAACTTAGTCCTACTTTTTTATACTAACAGTACTACTGCACTAGATAATTTTTTTATATAATTAAATACTGAATTAACGAACCCAATAATATTATGCAAAGACAAGACGGTGTCTTATAACTATCACAGTTTTTCTGGCTTTCTGACCAAGTGACAAGAGCTGTTAAAAATTCAGCTAAACTTGTTGATATGTTTCCTGGGTGAATAAAGTTTGAAGTGGAAGCAAAATAGACAATTCTATGTACAGAAGACAATGTAATATAATATGTCATTTGATAAGCTTTGTCTTTCTATTGGTTATAAATAATATAATATGAAACATCGGAGAGAACTATTGCCAATTTCTGAAGGAGAGGATGTGACAAGTGGATATGGAAAGAGGGATCTGATTTTCTATATTATGGCTCTTTAGCCAAATAAGATTGAAGACTATAAAAATCATGCTTGTATGAGCAATGACAACAACATAATGAGTAATTTACATTAAATTAAGTATTTATTTTCCACCTCTCCAAGAAGAGAGCAAATGTCTCAATTCTCATACTTGGGAAAATTCAGGATTTTTTTAAATATTGCCTTATAAAATATAAAACTTTTATAATTTTGAAATTTGGGTTATTAGCTACGTTTTTATGCCAAGTTTACTCATATGCCATGATAAGAGAGTATTTTAATTAAATTTTGGATGTAACTCGGTAAAACCTCATGACACAAACAGAAAAGGATGCCCGTAACGAGAGGGTTAGTATTGGGTATATCTTATTATTCCAAACACATCTTTACCCTTCACATTTTTGTGAAAAGCAGAGGTTAACTGCAAATGTAGTTGTCTTTAAAGAAAAAGTGCTGGTGGGCAATAATTTTCTAAACTCTACAGTATCATGAAATGTGAAAATTTTCTAGGTTCAATTGAACCATGGTAATTTGAAAACAAATGTGTTTGATATATGTTATTATAACATAGATATGATATGATACAAGATATATATATATATATATAGTACCCTGGCATGTGAATATGAGTACCTCTGAAACCAATTGTGTTGTCCAAAATACAATACTTTCATGTCCATGATGTACATAACTTTACTAAATGTGAACCCTTTCGCGCATAGAGAAGGCAAAGATATAGTGTTAATGGGTCTCTGTTCATTTTGTGCTTGTGATATTGAGAACTTTATAATAAGACTGTTTATTTTATTATGCCAGAACACTGTAATTGGTAACTTTTGTACTAACAACCGAAAGAAAGATGAGTGCTAAGAAAATAGTTATCATTTCCACATGTGATATTTTGTAGGGTCCAAGCACACCTCAGTCTCCGATGATGTCTCCATCACCACTAGGTACCTCTCCATCACCAAGATTACAGCATTCTCCATCACCTTTAATGCAGCACTCTCCAGCACCAATGCCTCCATCCCCAATGATGCAACATTCCCCTCGGATGGTGACTTCACAGCCTGAAGGTGCTGGAAGGCCTAATCCTGTACATGTAACTCAAGTAAGTGTAAATAAAAACATGACAAACACATAAAGAATATGTAAAATAAATTCAGCTTTTTGTAAAATGGGGAAAAAAATTTTTTCTTCAATTAAACTTCTTCAGGTAGAAGTTTCTTCTAAAGTTTTAACTCATTATTTCTGTTTTTTAATATACATAACCCTAGGATACCAATAGACTTGTTTTAGTTTTTCAGGATACATTCTGTTAATTTTTTTGTTTTGTTCTTTTGTATACAGCAATAATTTAGACTGTGCTCCCTTGCTGTGTTTATAAAGTTTCAGCTATGAGTGCACGTGAGCCGTGTCATTGTAACTTCTGTATTGTTAGCCAGGCACAGTTGAAAGGTCAATATAATAAGTGTAATAAATATATCTAAATGTGTAATGTTATGAGATTTTAAGCTATTTAGCCTAAATATTTGTGGTCTTGTGTTCATTCTAGGATGAAAAAGGCATAACTTATATTTATTTCCTAATTTTTATTGTGGTTACAAGATCGGACAAATATACCAAAACCATACAGAGATTCATTACTGAAAATAAAGGATAAAATATAAAGTTGTTTCTTAAGAAACATTTGATAACTATCTGGACATTATAAAGATTTTGTATGTGAAATTTGGAATTTTTTTGATGCACAAAAGTAATTTTAATCTTATGAAATGAATATTACTTTTTGTGATAGGTAGGCAACATGCGAAAAGAAAAAAAAAAGGCATGAGAAAAACATTGCTTTACAAACGTTAAGACTTAATAAAATAATTTGATATTTTGCATATGAAAGCATCATAATGTGTACTGATAATGTGCCAAATTTCGTTAACATTTGCTTACTAATTTAAAAGTTATAGCATGAAAACTAAAACAAGCACAAAATGGTTATGAGGTTGGTCCGAGGGACCAAGTCTGTGCTGAAAGAGTTAAACTCTTTTATCCAATAAATTTTGTAGCAGCAATAAAATTGAAATGGTTATTATAATAAATAACCACTTTGTATAATAAACTAAAACTTTTTTTGTTACAAATATCTTTCTAGGCTTAATAATAAAATTAAAAAGTAATTTTCTTCATTGGGTTTGTAACTATTTACCATACGTTTTTTTTTTAGTCTTGAAATAAAAAGTTAATATTTTAAATTATACATAGTTGCACATTTATTTGGAATCATAATGTTCTGAATTAGTTTGAAATTATCATGAAAATTTGTATAAATATTTTGTTATTTATCTTGTATTTAGATTAGAATAGTAACAGAAAAACTTTTCTTTCCTGGAGTGATTATTTTTGATATTTTTCAGGATGACAACAATCCTTTCAGTGAAAGTTTCCAGCAGAGAGAGTTTCAGTCTCAACAACAACACTTCTCTCCAAGCGGTATTCAACAGCAACAACATATGTCTCCTCAACAACTCCCTTCTCCTGGACCTCAGCCTCTTCCTAGAAGTTCTTTGGGGTCTCAGGTAGTTCCTCAACAACACACTTTCTCTCCTGGTTCTCAGGGTGGCCAACAGCAATGTTTCTCTCCAGGAACCCCTAATATCCAACAACAACGATTTTCTCCAGGAACTCAGGGAGTTCAGCAGCATTTCTCCTTAGGTTCTCCAAACTCCCAACAATCACCATATTCTCCAGTGTCACAACCATTTCAACAGCAACAACAACAATTTACAATAGGAGTTCAAGGTATACAACAGCCACGATTTTTACCGCCCCAAACATCATCTAGCCCAGCTCCTCAACAGAGACAGCAACTTCCAACAAGTGGGGTATCCCAACCTTCTCAACAGCAATCACAGTTTAGTGGACCTCGAGATATTCCACAACATCAAAGACCACAGCAGTTTTTTCCCCAGGCCATGCAACTTCGACATTTACCACCTCGAAGCCAGGCTCCTCAGCAGTTTATCAGCCAGGAAGGATCTCAAGGAGGTTGGTACTATCATTGAAATATCAGTACATCATTGTTGCATAAACAGTATTTCATACTTTTGTTTGAAATGTTTATTTTTCAAAAGAAAAGGAAAAACTATTCATTTAAAATGAAAATAAAATTGTGCTAATACTAAATGTCTATGTATAAAAAAAGAAAAAATCCCCAAAATATTCCATCAAGGAAGTATGTGATCTAAACATATTATGAGGTACAAAGCAATCATAGATTTGAATAATATAAGCAAAAAATCCTTTGTCTGTAGTATCATACTTGTTCAAACTAGAATTGGGCAGTTAGTTGTACGTATTGATTGATGAGCCCCCCAGTGGCACAGCGGTATGTCTGCGGACTTACAACACTAGATACCGGGTTTCGATACCCGTGATGGGCAGAGCACAGATAGCCCATTGTGTAGCTTTGTGCATAACTACAAACAAATTAATTGATGAATCAATTATTCCTTCCATTAATGAGTTTGTTTGATTAATCACTTAGTACAGTATTCCTCAAACCATGGTTTGTACAAACAAACAAACAAAAAAGGTTCGTGGCAGGAGCTGCCAGACAAGTTGCTTTCTCTAATCAAAAGTTAAAAATTGTGACAGTGTCAAATAGTCTTAATAGCTTTGTTATACCAAACACAGGGCAAGCAAGTTAATTACAATGAGAATCAAACCCAAGACTCAAATCATGACCTCCCTCCTGCAAATCACCAAAGTTGAATAAACTTGAAGTAAACAGACAAGGCTAAAATTGGGAGAGCATTGATAACTAGTGTTCCAAAATAAGACTTACAGACTGAGTGTCAAGCAAACAACCTTCAGGCCAATTATGGTTGTCCTGAATAAACTATAATTGTATGCACTTGGTGTTACATTGTCCTAAAGCAAATATCACACTAGAAATTCATTAATTGATAGAAAATCGTGATTTTATTGAAGAACTTTATGAGCATAACATAATCTCTTTCTCTTTGTCATATTTCAGCCACAGAAGGCCATTTTTACCAGGAACTTTAGAACATTCATTTGTGTTTGTTTTGGCAGTGTTCATGATTGGTATCTCTTTTTGAACCGTTCGTATTCTTTGTTTTTATCACACATCTTTGATCCAAATTTAAAGTGAAATAGCAAAGCTTGCTTAGCCATTCCAGATCCACAACTTGCATTGAAAACCCATGAATACTCTGCCTAAACAATCTATCAAAGAATACATAAAGCTTTTCTCACTCAGGTATCCTTGTTCTCTAATCAAAGATAAGGAGTTTGAGGCTTAAAGAAACAATGGATGTTTTTAGACAAAATTAGGCTGGTCAAAAAAGTCTCATCTTTGTAGAAAAATATTGCCAGACAGGAACATCTACAATATTTTTATTCCAGTGTCTTGTAAAACAAATGAAACTATTTATTTAGATAAACATATACCATTCAACAGCTAAATATTTGATTATTCAGCTAAAGTACTTATCCATGCATTTGGTACCTGGCTGGAACATTTACCTGTTACATCTCTGGTTGTGGAAGTTCTGGTGTCTGTCTGGGGAGAATAATGAGTGCTAATAAAGTATGTAAAAGACATTTGAAAACATAAAATATGGTAATAAGTAAGAGTATTTACAGCATAGCATTTTTATATGAGGTTTGGTTTTCTTTGTGGAAATTATATCAAAACTATGAAACAATTGACACTTATAGTTCTTGTTTATTAAAACAGTTATAATCTTTTTCTATATTTCATAGATGAAGAGAAAAGACAGCAATTACTTCAACAAGTTAAAATTTTTAAAGAAAATGACACTCCATTCTCCCAGGCTCCTGGCCAAGTGGGTCCACGATTTGCACTTAGTTCTTCCTCTGGTCAGTCTTTTACACGATTGGTTGGCCCATCTGTAAATCATAGAATAATAAATAGACCAGGTGAGATTTTTCCTTTTAATATTTCTGACATTTTTAATGGTGACTAACAGTTTTATTTGGGAATTACTATATTAATTGTTACTTACTAGGTTTTTGTTTTCTCAATCATTATAGGTGTTGCCACAGATTTGGTTGGACAGCCCTTTCCAGCATCATTGCCAACCTCTGCTCAAGGAATACGTCCTGGTCAAGTCAGTGTGCACTCTGGAATGCGGCGGCCTCCACCTCCTTATCCATCTCATGTAAAGCTCACTTCTCCAGGTCCTCTTGATCCTTCAAGATCTGATTCAGTATTAACAACACTTACTTCATCTCCAGGTGTCTACTCTTGTACTTCTAGTATTTCTGGAACTACTGTAACATCAGAATCATCATTATCGTATTCAGAAGAGTTCAAAAGAAAGCAACCAACAACCGCAATTTTGCATAACACATCTGGACCAAGTGTTACAGTGTTAAGCATCCGTAGTTCAGAAACAGAACTAGTTCGTCATGATGCTCAAAAGGAAGAAATTAGTGATAATACAGGGTCATCTCTCTCTTTAAATAGTCAAACACTTATACCAATGGGGCATAGTGCTGTTCATCCAATTCCTGTTTCACAGAAAAAAAATTCAAGTTTTTCTGAATCATTCCAGGTATCGCAAAATAGCCAAACTCTGTATATGTCTCAAAATCTTCCAACCAGTCAAAACAGTGCTAATAAAGAGGATACTTTACAGTATCCAACAGAAGGAAAAGAAGAAAAGAAACATGTCATCAGCAGTAGTCTGGAAAGTGCAGCTTATATTGAGAACTCTTCCCAAGAGGGGTTTGAAACAAACTTTATTGCCATGAGAGGAGATAATGAAAGTGCTAGAAGAAAACAGGCATCTGAGCTACTCAAATCTCAGACTGTTACAAGAACATTGCATGGACGTAGCTCTACAGAAAATAAAACAAGCTCTTTAAAGATTGAGAATTGGCCATCTGTTGTACAGACTAGTGTTTTAATATCTAAGTCAAATCAAGAGGTATCTGATGAGAATTTTCAACCAGGACAACAACATGGTGATAGTTTGCAATCTCAGAAAGAAAGCAAAGACCAACAAGTGGCTTCTAGTAGTGGAACTAAAGCCTCTCATGTAAGAAAGATTGTGCAAGGATCAAGTCAAATAGACCAAAGAGACAAGTTCTATCAGCCAAATGTAACACTGCCTGAAAATCTCATTTCAAGTGGGCAATTCCCAAAAAGTAGCATTTCTTCCCAGCCACTAATTCACAATACTGCAAAAACTTCAGAAAGTTCGCCTAGTACTTGTTCAGACGTGTGTGATAATGTAATGCCCTCTGTCACTGATTCAGAGAGATTTGTGTTGCAACATTCTCAGATCAGTGGCTCTACCTCAATATCAGTTGAAAATATATCGGTTGATAAATTGAGTTCTTCGGCTTTTCAGAAAAGCCAATCAGAAAAAAGATATGATATTATTGCATCACCTTCCAGTGGCCATATGTATGATCACTTAGCAGATTCCACACAGAGTAGTTCTTTCAATTTCAAGCCTGCTGATAATGAAGATAATCCTCCAGACAAATGTAGTTTTAACACAGATATATCAAGTGAAGAGGTTTCTACTACATTGGTACCTAAACAGGAAGAGACTAAAGGTGATTCAGAAGTTTCCAGTTCTTCTGCCACTGTAATCCCTACAAGTTCCAGCACAAAGGAGGAGCTATGTGCTAGTGACATTAAGGAAGAAACAGTGGAAGACCTAAGTGAGGGCACATTTGAACTTCATGTGGTAGGATCACCAGAGGGTCGAGCTAATGATTCTCCAGCACCAATGTTCCCAGCAAAGCAAGAAGGGAAGAACCAAGAGGATGCTGAATTGAGTTGCTGTTCTGATTCTCAGACAGAAGGAACAGATTTATCAGGCTATGCTGATAAAAACGTATCACAGTTAACAACAGCGTCAACATCTGATTTTTCTACAAGTATGAGTTCCATAAAAGAAACAACTGAAGCATTTTCAGGTATACAGTGTGAATCTCTTATGACTTTGAAGAAACATCATGAATCTTAATTTTTTATTTCATTAATCCTACATTCCATCAGCTGAAAGATAATTTTTAAACACTGACATTTTTTCAAAAGCATATCTTTAAATATAGCATATGTACTAGTTTTAAACCTACTGTTTAATGTACATTTTATTATTAGATGGGCTATACGCCTTCAAATTGATGTAATTTAAGGAGTGATGAATAATGTTACGTTGAATAACGAGTTGAACTTCCAATTTATTACACTTTGCATTTCTTTAACACGAGATGAAGGATGTGTTATAGATTGATATTTATTGTTAGACATTTTTAACAGCTGCTTATATGAAATGTATTGTTGCAATTGGTTATGTTAGTTTAAAATTATTTTGCATGTAAAATATATATATTTTTATGTAAAACCTCTGAGATTTCAATTTGTTGTTTCATTATCATTGACAAACTTACATTTGATTGGCGCTCTGTTTACTGTTGAGTTACTTTAACTTACCTGATTTTTGTATTATTTTAGATAAAGAATTTGAACCACAAAAACCATTACCACCACCTTCTACAACTGCTAAACCAGAGGTGAACAATTATATATATATATATTTTTTTATTTTATTCCTAATAATGGGATAAAATCATTGTAAGAATTTGACTTTGAATAATGTTTTCTTAACTTTTAAAAGCCTTGAATGAACTGATGTAATGTTTTTGATAAATAAGATGTGATAATTAAAACTGGAATTCATTTTGTTTATGTGTTAAATTTATGCAAGAAATGTTAGTTACGTTAAGTTGTTTTTGTGTAGCGTGAATATTGAAATGTAACTTTTAAATAATCAAATAACTGAACTTGAAGTTGCTAATTAACTTTTTATGAACATTCTGGCATCTAAAAATCCATATTTACATATTGAGTAGTTAAAGGTACTGCTAAACAAACAACTCAATCTTGTGAAAAATTATACACCATTTAAAAAATTGAAAATAATGTGCTACTATTTCTTCCAAAGGCTCAATGTTCAGTGAAAGCTGTCAATAAATTCTGTGGAATGTGTGTGTACTCATTTTGTTGAAAATGCATTCAAGATTATAAAATCTTTGTCAGTGATAGTGAAAATACATGTAAATTGGGTGGAATGTATTATATAGGTTAACAATGTCATACCTAGAAAGCAGAGAAGTATAGAAACAGTGTCTGTATATTCATTATATCTAAACTTGTTAGATATAGTCCTCTGATCTTTAATCTTTGACAGTACAGAGAATTATTTTAAAACATTTTGAGTTAGATTGAATAGAACAGTATAAAATACATTGTTAATTAAGGATTCTAAAAAACATAATAAAATTGGTTTTCTACTGTGAAATATTGTGCATTCAACAAAAGAAAATATAGAACTGTTCAATAAACTTCACAGTGGAAGTATTTTTGTTGTTAAATGTTATTAATACAATATATTCAGCTGGTGGTGCAGTTGCATGTTTTTGCATGACTCCTTTATGTTATTGTATCTTTGGTAATTTACTGATTTTGTGCATTTTAATCACTGTATTATTATTCTTTCTTCATTTTTTGGAAGTTATTTTAAGAAAGGAAACCATTCTATTTGACATATTTAAATTCCAAATTGCACAGTAACACGTTAGTCTTGAGATGTATCTAATTATGTAATACTAAACATGCTGTGCAACATAGTGATTGTTTAATAATATTGACCATTAGATACCCTGTGCGAGTTGCAGCATTCCCCCATCTCTGGTCCAATCACTCCCCACCTCTGTTACAAACACCCTTAATTTCACCTTACGTCAAACAGGAATGCCAAATGTTAGTCTTCCTCAAGAAGATGGCAGTCTCACTAGCTTTCCAAGGACTAACACGCAGGTAATTGTTTCCTTCCTTCCATTGTGCTGTAATCTGATATGCATGGAGTTCTTTATTTAAAACATATATATATATATATATATACATATTTTATTGAATTTTGATGTATACTACTGGTATAGGGATTTTTTAGTTCTCTAAGCTTTTGTTAACAGAAACGTAAGAAACCACCAATTTGTATGATTATTTAAAGGTTAATGTTATTCTGTTCTCATGAAATATTAATATATTTCTTGACAAATAGTTTGACAATTAGCAAAGGTATTTTAAAGAATTATGAACACCTTTTCAGTAATCTTTAGTGAGTAGTTATATTTTAGTTATTATATATGTCTCACAAGTAGTTGAGTCAGTGATTGATACACTGTATATAGTTTGACAAGTGGATATTTATTTACAGTGTGAGTTGAATGTTATTCTTGGTTTGTGACAAGCTCTTTGTGTTGGATAATAGAAGTTTTAGGTGTTTATATATGTGTTGATAATTATCTTTATCAAAGCAGTAAAATAATGATTGTGTATAACTTATTTTATAGCCGCATAAAGTGTTAGCTATTCCCATGTCACTGCTTGAGTGAAGCAAGAGAATAGGAGGAGCATAAACTAAAATATAATCCTGATGTTATATGGAATTACATTCCATGTGTGTTTGTTTTCTTTATTTAGAATTAACCTGTTATTGCAAACTGCAGTCTTAGCTTTTCTCAGCTTTGACTTACCTATTCTGAGCAAATGTTTCATAAGAACTACAAAACCATATGGTTGAAATTCCTGAATGGCAGATCTGATTAGAGAATTGCCCAATTTCAGATCAATGTATTGGTGAAGTTAGTTTAAAATGTATAAAGAAGATAAGCCAAACAAAATTTTCTACTAGAAACCTTATAAAGTACATTTCAGTCAAATAATTTACTAATACCTTGGTTTGTCTGATGAAAGATTACATAGTTTAAAATTAGAGTGCTTACCACATAATGAGTTTTAGATTGCTGTAATATGAAATACATCTTCTGAAAAGTTTCTATAGTTTAGATGTTGAAGTACATTGATGTTTGTTTTTAGCCTCGGTCTAGTGTCTCATAGAATGGCTCTGAGTTTTTTTCAAGTACAAACTTTTAGCTCATAGCTCCATCTCTTGACCAGTTTGAGATCTAATTTATAGCTGAGGCTATTGAGGATTCCCTCTTGTTTTGTCATGTGTATGTATAAATTCTAAATGATTTTCTACATATACAATTTAATTGGGAATGTTATGTAATTGATGTTTTTTAGACTGTGTACAGGTAAAAGTAGTGGCTCTTACTATAACAAACAATATAAGTTAGCAAGGAGTTTACTTTTAGTTTCGTATGAAAATTGATGTTGTGTCTTTAGACTATATAAATATGTTTTTGTTTTTCTTCAGATTTTATTAGGAATAAATATTCTCTTGTGGCAACTGAGAAATTGGCTGTGTTAATAAAACAAGTAAAGTTAAAATTTGATTAAGTGTTGTAAATGAAAGTTATATTGACACAGGTTACCAGGAATAATGGGAGAGAACCTATTTAAGTTTGTGCTTTGCAGTAAATGTATATGATTTGTTTGCTTTTCAGGCCTGGAGATGCTATTTAAGTTCAAAAGCAGAGTATTTTGTTTGTCTTAACTCTTTCCAGACCAGTGAGCACTTTTCAGGTGTCAAGTGCACACCTGCATATCAAATTTAAATAAAAACAAGAATTCTAACTCTATTTCAACAATTTTATGCTCAAAAATGTTTTCGAAGTGATAATTTGCAATTTTGTAATGTTTATTTAGTGTAATTTGCAAAGAGGAAAATTTCATACATTTTGAACCAGCATTTATACTATCTCTAAAGAGCCTAACATGTAAACAATGCATTATGTAGGTTTCTTTAAGAGTTCTTGTATTCATTTCAAAGCATAGACATGTACTTTCTAAGAGACTATCATCTGTTGAGAATACAATTCTCAAAGTGTTGTTTATTACATGATTTTCCTTCTCTTTCTCCAATTTTATTAGGATGGTCTCTCATTCACACCCTTTCATGAATTTAAAATGTTTAGAAAACAACAAACATTTTATCCTATATTTAAACTAATTAAAAGATAAAGCAAATTTTAGGTAATACTAAAGATAGCATACAGTTAATGGAAAAAAATAGGAACCTATAAATGTGAATGTGGAAATATTTATATTGGACCCGACTAAACATAAATTTAAATATCGTTTGATGGAGCATAAAGGATATGTAAGAAATAAAAAAAATGAAAATTCAGCCATAGCAGAACATGTACATGAAACATAACATATGGTATTGTGGGAAAAAAACTGTAATATTGGCTTAACCAAAAGGTATTATAGCCAATAATATTTGTGAATCCTTAGAAATAATTACATATAAAAAGGATCATGTATTATTAAATAGAGATGAAGGTCTGGCAAATATTTATGCAAAAATGTGGGGTGACCTTCTTTAAAAAGTTCACGCGGTAACTGTATACCTGTACGTAATTCACATGACCTATTTAACAAATAAAGTATACATAAGACACGATTATGCCTTGCAACTCACTCCTGAAGATGACATTGCAATATCGAAACATGTAGTCAACTTTTTAGTGGTCATAGATTGGCCTTAATTGGAATATTTTTGTGTACCTATTTTGACACTGTGTTATTTATTATTTTAACATTATATACAAGTAGCAATAAATAATACTTATAAAAAATTTTAAAGCTGAAAGTGGATACTATCTAGTAGTTTTTGTTCTAAGTTTCACACAGTCAAATATTTACATTATGACTTTGAGAAGGAAAAAATCAAGGGATATCAGTGACACCTTCATATGAGTTTAATAAGTTTCTTTGGTGTTTATAGCAGGAAGTGGTGACTACTGCAGTTGTGTTAATGAATATTAGTCAATTTGAATTCTCTGATGAACATAAAAGAAAAATGAAATTCTCAAGCAAAAATAATTATTTTTTTATTTTATTTTTTTTTCTTCAAAATAATGTATTATAACATTTTGGAAATTTCACTGGAGAAATGATGAAAAACTAAATCAAATTTTACAAATTTTTTAAATCTGAAACTAGATACTATCTAGTAGTTTTTTTTCTAAGTTTTATACCATCTGTTAAATATTCACACTGTGACTTTGAGAAGGAAAAATATCAAGAAATATCAATGACACTTTCATTTGCATTGAACATACTAACCATATGTGTTTTGCCTTCAGGATGACAGTAAATGATCAGATTTTACTACTTGTTATTTGTATATAACAAAATCCTATAAATTATTATCATCTATGTCATCATGCATAACACCTCCAGAATTAACTAATGACACTGTCAGGCCTGTTGTTAATGTTAGCTTTTCAAAAGCCATGCTGTTTGTTTTCCAGGGTTGCAGTTGTTTGTGATAAAACTGAAAAAGAAATGAAATAATTACTTATGAGTGCACTAATCTTGTAGATATTAAAAGTTTTGGACCAGCAATTCTATAAATGGAAAACATAGATCTGGTTATTGAATCCTTTCCTTTTTCTCAATTAATGCAATAAATACAATAATAACATTATGGGAACAATTTTCATTGTTACCCATCACTAGTTATGCACTACAAAAAAACATAAAATACCAAGCTGGAAATAGTTAAGTATAGACTATTATAGTTAGATTGTGAAGGAAAAAACTTTATGTAATGTTTAAGAATTAAGTCAAAATTATATATTCATCAAAATCATGTTACATGTTTTTCGCTATTGTTTTAACTAACCAGTACATAATGGATAATATAACTTTGTATTTGACCAGTGTTAGTAGTTAGTGTGAATGAACTGAAACAGCATTTCATCTTTCTGTCTTGAGAAAAAGAAGAGTAAAGTTAATAATGAATTGAACCTAATCCAATATGCTACATAAATTTCCAAATTATTCAGTTAAATATTTTATGTTGCAATGGTAAGTAATGTTAAAATTATATTGCATGTACTTTTGTTTTGTGGTTCTGCTGTAAACTTTGTATAATTTTGTAGACATTTAAGCCTTAAACATTACAGCTCTAGAAAGAGGATTCTAGGTTTTAACTTATACTTTTGTAGGGAAGTTTCACTGCTTCACAAGCTTTGAGTGGAAGACCTATTACCACTGTTCTTAGATCTCCACAGTCATCTGTACCTACAGCACCACAACCCAACATGGAAGTATCTCTGTCCTCTGTCATACAATCTCGTTATCCCTTAACACAACAAGGAAAAGTTATGAGTGGATCCCCTTCATTTAGAAAAGTGGAGATGTCATTACCAACTGAGCAGTTCCACTCTTACCCTTCTACATCTATATCTGTAGTAACTGTAACACCCTGCAGACCTAAATTGGAAACACAAACAGCTGATGAATTAGTAAAAACTAGTGGAGGAAGTTGGAAGGACTATCCATACCAAACTGATCCATCACCTCGCATGATTACTCCTAATGTAAGCTTTTCACCATGTGGAACTATAAGCGTTCCCAATATCAAGTTAGAGCCACAAGATCCAGCAGCTGAAGTTGAAGTTAAACAGGAGCAGGTAAGTGTTACCAACTTCTTGCAGAGTTTCAAGTAAGTTTTGTTTGCAGTGATATTTAAGTTCTGTTACTGCTTATTATTATTATTTCTTTTATAAACACTTAGAGTGTAAAAAAAAAAATCTTTATTGTAAGTGTGAATAATAAAGTTTTAAAGTATTTTTTTATTTATTATATGTGATGCATATCAGAACATTGCTACGAGCATGTAGGTCAGAATTTTGTTTTATTAAATAGCACATGCAGTTCAAAAGAAACTAGGTTAATTCACCATAAATATAATGATGTCTTGCACATTCTTCCTCTCAGAAATAATAAATTTAAATTCAACTACAGAGTATTTAGGATTGAAATAAACTTTGCTGCACTTTTTTCTTTGCCCTATTTGTAAAAGTATGCTAAACCTGTTTCTGTAATAAACAGTGGACAGACAGTAATTGTCAATGCAAACATCAGTTTTATGGTTTGTAGTGAGTTAAGATAAAATAAAACAGTTCACTATATTGTAGCTAGAGCATGTAATAAAATTAAACAAATAATGTATTTAATTTCACTTGAATCTTTGTGTAATACATGTTTGTATCTCAATGAGGTGGTTTATGTTCTTCAGTTTTAAGACATATATAATAGCCATAAGAATACAAAAAATGCATTCAAAAAAACTGTATTATTGAAAAACAGTCTGCTCTTTTGTAACCCTCTGGAGCATTTATAATGCTATTCCTTCTTCTTTTTTTTGAGAAAATGGGATTAAGATTGTGAAACTATCTTTTAAGAATACTTCTTTTACTTGAAGTATATTAAGAATTAGAAAACAGTTGTATTCTTCATCATCAAGAAATAAACCGCTTTAACTACTGTTAACCCATATATAAAGAAGTCACTGAAAACAACATGTCAAGCAGTTTGTAATGCAAAACGAGTGGTGAAAACTAATTGGTTTCCCCTAACCATTTGCATAAAGTTATTTAAAATAATCCAATTATCCTTGAAATTAAGAAAATTTGGGAAACAAAAGTAAATATCTAGCAAAGTTTGTAGGGTAGCTAATCAGTTTTTGTTAAATATTAACCATTTCTGTATTAATTTAATGTTAGCCAAAATAAAATACTTTTTTATATATTTTAACTTATTACTTTCATCGAGTTCAAATGTAAGACTTTAAACAAACCACATGTCAGGTTTCTAATAAGCTGGATCCTTTTTATTTTAAATAATCATCTTTGTGATCTTATGTACTAAAAATGTATTTCATAAGTCATGCAGTATATCTTGAAATTACATCTTTACACACATGTTAAAGTAAAAAATAAAAATTAAACATAACATGATGTTAAACTAGAAAAAAAATTATTGAAATTTGATTTTTGCCAATTGCATATTTGTATCCCAAATTCTGTTCCTAGAGCTAGCTTTTGACCTGCTTTAAGAGTCATCCTCAAGCTTAATGATCAATATAAATGAACAGTTGAAATTATAAAAGTTTAAAAGAATAGTACTGTATGTGTTTCAATTACATTATAATGTTAGTTTAATGTTTATATCTATAAATTTGCTATTTAATTTTGTAGTTATGAATGCACCCTTGCTGATACCAATACATAATCAGTATCTAATGTAAAAGCTGTTGTCACTTTCAAAGTCTTGGCTCACGTGTTCCAGTCGTACAGTTTCAGCAGTTACACATGTTTAGATATATATTTTATGAAGTGCAGAACAATGTTTAATAAGGCATGTAGAAAAAATGTGTACAGCACTTAGTTGCAAAAAAACAATTCTTGTTTCTCCTATCTTCTCATAGTTTAAGTGTATTAATACCCTTTATCTATCTATTTTTCTCAGAGCTTTTTTTTGTTTTGTGTTTGTGTGTTTGAAGTGTGACATCAACATAAAAGAAATATTTAACAGACTGCAAAAGCCCAGTTAGAATTGCATGTACATGTGTTTTATAGCAGGAATTGAATCACAAATGCAGCAGAAAAAAATATAAAATGAAATTGTTTTGTAGGTCAAACTTATAACTACATTTCTAGTGAACTATTAATGCAAAAGTGAGATGCATTTCTAATTGTTATTTGAAAGCTTAAAAAAGGTCAGTTTATAAATGAACATAGCTTTCAAAACAAAAAAGTTGTTTATAAATATTTTTGACCTCACTAGAGGGATTAGTTACTGCTACTGACACAGTAGCCATTGATATTCAGACATGACTCAACACGTGTTCAATTACCTGATACCATATTTTATTCATTGTAGTCAATTAAAAAATTAGTAAAACTTATTCCCTTTCAAAATATAGACAGCTTATTCAGAGGTATTTAGAACTTTATTCAGAATGTTTTTTTTATTGTTTTTTAGTGAATCATATCTTGATTTATTTATTGTTCTCAGTTCATGTAATATACCACTATTCATTCTGAGGTTATTGTTATTCTGGTGTGGTAAATTGATTTTATGTCCTTTACATTTTTATGTATATTTGTGTGGTCCAATTTTCATTTTATTAAAACTTTGTGCATTTTAAATATGTTATAGTTTATTTTTTGCATGCTAAATGTTTTAATGCTTGAAAGAAGGATTATTAACTTTTTACATTAATGTGCATGAGATTTATTTTACGTTCATTTTTATTTTGGTGCATTATTTCATTACTCACTATTTAAAGCAGGAAATGATTAGTAGTGTGGAGGCAAGAGAGTCAATGGTAGCCCCAGAGAAACCTTTAGGTGAAGTGAAAACCAGTGTTAGTGTTTCACAAACTATTGCTGATCAAGGAGCGTATCAAGAACAAGGCAGTAGCAGTAACTTACCCTCTTGTAAGAGTGAAACCCAGAAGGAAACATTGAGTAGATCTTTTCAAGACAGCTTTATTGGTGTACCCCATGACAAGAATGAATTAAAAAATGAATTATCAAACCAGAAAGAACCAAAAATGCAAACTGAAATGACATATATTGATGAAACAAAAAGTTGTTGTGCTGAAACAGCCGAAAATTTTGAAACTAAGAAGTGTATAAAAAATGAGACTGAAGTGAGAAAGCAGACATCAGATTCAGAAGTTTATAATAATGTTCAACCCCAACAGCAGCAAGATAGGAAAGTAATAGTTGAAACATCTGTTGTGAATGAAGAAGAAAACAGTCAAGAAAAGTCTCATTGTGGTAAGTAATTTAAAGTTGTGTGTGATACTTGTCCCTATTCCTTCTTAGAAATATTCATTTAATGTTATTATTGTTCTTTGCCAGGCACAATATGCCATATTGGTATCTTTTTATTTTCTTTTGTCAAAAAATACTAAATACTTGGAAAACTACTTACTCTTCAAAAGAGAATATAATAAAAACCATTAATTTGAATTAGCCATTTCATTCAATGGTAAAATCTGAATTCGCTAACTATCTTATAATTTTCAGATAGATCTTATGCAGGATTTATAGTTAATTTCAGATTTTTTTTTAGTAAATTCCATTTTAAAAATTTCTTGAAAACATTGTATATTCCAATCTAGTGTTGATGAAAAACAAAAAAATACTAAAATTGAATTTAACTTCCAATAAACACAACTTCTGAGAGCCATTTCGGTTGAGAGATTATCTGTAATACATTAGAGAAATTTAAATAATTTCCCACTTAAGATTAATAACTATAAGTGTTAGAATTCCTTATGTACTACTTTTCCCTTGAATCTGGAGTTGTACAATCTAACTCCATGCTGAGAATTTCTACTTCTACATAAAGTATAAATTACACAGGATACTAATAAAATGAATATGTAATTATGCTTCAAAATGTTTTGATTATTTCAATTAACCCAGCAAAAGGATATACAAAGTACAGTTTTATGTACAAGGTCAGCAGGAAGACGTTAGCTTTAGAGTTTGGTCATTGGAGGCTAAAGATCTTAGACTGTTTTTAACATTGTGAAAATCACATTAACCTAGAAGTGGGAGGGTCTAGAACTTTAATGCATTAGAAGTTTCCGTTCAGTGGAATTGAGGAACAGTTGCTTTAAATCAGTGGTTTAGTGCCTCTGGAATACACATGTTTAATAAAAGCACAAATAACTTTAAAGTAAATCTTTTAGATATTTTGTTATATATATATACATATATATTTTTTCTTAAAGTTTTTCTTATGGAGTAACAGTTAATAGTTTTTCATACTTGTATGGTCTTTTATGTGTTTCCGTACATCCACTAGAGATACACCTATGTGCATTCTTTGTTTTGTTTTATCCGAGGTGGGTGCTGTACAAAATTTCTTTTTTAAATATAAAAGCAAGATCATATATCTTTGTTTTGAATCATGTTACAATCTTGGTATCTCTAAAATTATAAAATCCTGGAATTGAAACAAACTGGGATATCACATGTCAAAATAAGTTTGACTGCTGTAAACAATTTAAAATGTATTTCAAAGTTCTTGTAATTTCTTTGATGTAATAATTTGTTTGAGTTTTAAAAGTTGGTTTGTTCTTTTACATTAATCTATAAAGAACTTGTCTTTCATATTTTTGGGGGACACATATTAGTTGAAGTTCAAAAATGTTTTATCATTAGAACTGATTAATCCCTGCTGTGAACAGCACAATTATAGTTTATCTTTTATAGCTGGTATTATTTTGAATATCATTTCCTAGGAATTTTGTATGAATCCTGTAAAATCTGTTAGGTTTTATTTTGTGGGAAAAAAAATCGGGCATCTTTGTTATGTAGCTAGTGTGTAAAATTTTAAAAGCTGTTTGTAGTTCAGATAATATAAAAATATTAAGTGCAGCAAAGCACTTGAAAATTAGCAAATCCAACATTATCTTTTAAAAGACAAAATTATTTTTATCAGGGCTGGATGCTGTGTATTATCTTGTCTGGTTGAGCAAGATTAATTTATGAGTTATTCATTATATCTAATTATGTTTTTTTCATGGCAAGTAGTTTTAAAAATTCAGAATTCATTCTCTGTATAATATGTATTGTAAAACCAAAGTATGGAATTCATTATTTCATTATGGCTATTTAATAAGTTGGCTCTAAAAGCTCTTGTTTTGATTTTCTATTATTTTAAGTTCTCAAGTTTTAAAAAGTGTATCTATATATATACATATATGGGGAGGGGGAATGAAACTTTTTTCTTCTTCTCATTTTTGTAAACTTTTTACTTACCTACTCTGGTGTTTTTTTAGTTTTCAGGATGATGATTCTTTTCAGCCATTTGTTACAGTTAGTTATTTGACTTTTTTCTTCTTTACAGCTAGTGAATCACAGGATGACAGCTCACGTGAACAGTCCATGAGTTTGGAAGAGGGAGGAAATCAAAATGTTTTGTTGAAGCAATTACTCAGAAATTTTCCATCAGCAGAGACAAGGAGAGAAAGTGAGGAATTTGAGGTAGAAAATTGTTTTGTCAATTTTACTGGAGCTTTGGTTGTATACCATGATTTAGATGTTTCTGTCCAAGGTTAATGTGTTTGATATATTGTTTTTAATTAAGGTAGATTTAGTTGTATTATTTCTTTTCTTTTTTTTCTTTTTGTTAGGATCTAGTAAACAAAGAAGAAGCTAAATCTGCTACAGAGGGAAAAGTGGAGCCCTCGAGTGAAGACAAGGACAAAGAACATCCTGAGGAACCTAAAGGAAAGAAGCCATCATACCTTGGTTTGTTGTTATAAATCATGTTACTTATGTTCCATCTACATATTTCTGAAATCATAAATACAAGTTTCTACTTTAATCTAATCCATAGTTTAAAATTAACAATACTTTTTAGTGAAATACAACTTAATGGTTATGACATTCAAATATTTTTGTATTTAAGGTTTTATATGTTTTAAGCTTTTGAAACTAAATTCCATGTTTTATTTAAACAGATATACGAAGAGCTCAACTGGAGAAGGATCCTACACCACCACCTGAAGATCTTAAGCCAAAGAGAAAAAGACCAAAGAAAAAGAAAGAAAACAAAGATGGGACATCTGGAAAAAAACGACAGCGGAAAGGATCTAAAGCAGAAGAGGATTATGATGTGTTTATGGCTGCTTTGATGAAGCAGTTGAGAGCTATGCCTCCTATTAGAATCTTGGAACCTTACATTAAACCAAACTTTAATCTTTGCCCTGTGTTTGGAAGTAGAGATTGTAATAATAAAGGTAAACTTTTTAACATATTAAACTGTGAAAATGGATTGTTCAGCAAATAATGTGCTAACCACTGCTTTCAGGCATTATATCTAAATGTTTTTTTCTAGCAGCAGTAAGGAGATAAGTAATTTAATCAGTTTTATGTTCATTGGCATGTACAATCACCAGTTTATATTAGTTATCAGATGATTAATTATTAATACCTTATGTTTTAGTTTGTGCTATGCACTATTTTCAGAGCAAGTCGTAGAAAGACCATTTTTATGTGAACAGGTATTTAGTACTTTTGATTCTCAACCAGGATATCCAAACTTTTAAACTTTTCTCAGGCTTTCCTTGGAGGTTATAGTAGATGAGAAGCTGAAATTTGGGCATAAGTTAATTGGTAACTATTAACTAATCATAGCAACAATGTGATAAGGAGAATTTAAAACAATGAAAGTAAGGCAAAAGTATATAAAATTTGTAGACTTTTTGTACCCAATAAAATTGCTGATTTTTAAAACTGTTGTAATAACTTAAAACTAGAATGATATCAGTTTAGGTTATTTAGTAGGAGACAGGTAATTTTCTTCTGTTAGTAAATTATTAGCCCACCCGTGACCTGTTGGATCACACACTATTCAGAGGTTATGAAGAATTCAAGCTAATTTCAAAATTGCACCGAAATAAAGTTTTATTTTGAGATAATTTAATTAAATATTTCAATCCATTCGTGTTATTCATAGTTCTAAGAAAAGAT